GTCTCTCCTCATAATATTGGTACATCCGAACTCAATGTCCTTAATTTGGAAATCGGAGCTTACGAATGAGAGGTGCATTTTTGATAGGCTCCCAGGAAACTACAAGAATTCGTCAATCGCTGCTCAACGATGGGGCAGAAAGCCATCATATTGCTTATGTTCTCAACTGAATGAAGTGTACCTTGTAATCAGTCTTGCTGCGGCCTCATATGTCTTCAGCTTCGAATTCTTACGTGGTTGTCTGAAAGTTGCGTCACTTTTCCTGAGTGCTTTCTTGGCAAAAGTGAAAGTTCAGAGGAAGTGGCTCACCTCAGCGTAGAGTGAACTGATTGTTTGCATAGCCACAGAGACGCTCTTTCGGTAGGATACATGACGAACTGTGCTCTGATTTTAATATATTTGTAGATGTTTGGTACAACGCTGGTGGGAGTTCACATTCTTTCAAACTTGTTTTCTTTGTTAAAGGAAGCTCTTTATAACTATTTTTACTCATTTCTTTTTGTTTGTTGTGAGATTACGGGTATTGTTTTTGATTCTCATTGCTAATCAGTTAGCCAACTATGTCATGTAAATGTTTCAGCCGGCGATGCATATTTTTTGCGGGCAAACCTAGCCGAATCAGTCGATTTTCATCTTCTTCCGGAACCAGTTTTCAACCGTCTGAGAGAGGTTTATGGTCTAGAAATGGTCGACCGCGATTACATTTGTCGGAAAGTGATTTCCAGAAACGGAAAACCAGTGGTGGAGGTTTATCCTCGTGTGGTAATGGTGCGAACTAATCTCTTCAGTGCAATAAAAGTATCGTAGTCGTTGTGTGCACTGTATGCTGAAGAAATTTTTATTGTTCCAGGTTTACCTGGCGCGGGATGCTTCTAGGTCTTGCGAACTCCGCCTAACAGGAAGTGACACTTTACGTGGGAATTTCTTTTTTAATTTTCAAATAATTGATAATTTTAAATAATTGCTACTTTTTCAAAGGTTTTTGCTTTCCTACAATTATATGTTCAGTGGACCTACGAGATCGTGCTTTGAAGTCGCTAGGAGTTTCCTCGGTCCCTCCAGAGAAACTACGTTTCTATATTGCTCACGGTGATAAGTACGAGTTGATAGATATTTCACAACAAAATATTGACAGTTATTTTGATACAGCTCAGAAGGTGTGATTCTATTTCCATTGTTATGAAAGACCTACTACTGAAACTTTTTTTTATAGGTTTACGTGGATGTTTGCAATGCAGATGATAAATGGTTCATAAACAACGAAAAGCACAGTAATTCGAAAACCACGGATTATCCATCAAATTCGGTGTCTTCATATTCGTGAGTTTGTTTTTAATCTCAGTGAACATGTCAGGTCACCCATTGTTGTTTTGTTTGCTGTCTTCAACACCTGCGTTGTTTCCTATTTTGTAAACGTTTTAATAGTGTGTGCTTGTAACAAGGGGTGAATATCAAAACGGCAATCACGGCGCTCACTTGTTCTCAATAGCGCGGATGCTTGTTGGTTGTCCGACGTTTTTGTTCAGACATGCCAGTAGAGTTTTGACTATGAAAGTGATGGCTATGAATAAAAAGAAACATGGATCACAGATTTTCCTTTGATCAGGGCGCCATGCGAGTTCTGTATTCCGAGCGTTGTCGATGTCCCGATGCCATACCTCATAGCGCGCTTCGTAATATTTAGGTTTTGACATGACCTAGGCCCTCAACCCATCACGGCCTCTCATATTTTCATATTCCTTGAATTTGGGGCTAATATCACGTTTTCTCAAATCGCTTCGGGAGAGTGGGTCAGCATTTAGTCGAACGATTTCACGATTTTCGAGATTTCATGAGTAAAGTGGCGCGTGAATCAGATTTTCAAATGAATGTTTTTCTGGATCCTCAGTATCTTTTTTGGTTCGGAAGTTGTCCCTCAATGGATAGACGGAAGGTCGGTGAATGTGGCACGGCTTCGGTTGAGGAATCATTCGCAATATCGGGCTAACTTGTTTCCCCTGCTCCTGTTTGGGCGATTGCATTGCAACTGGTGAACATGTGGTTATTCTCAAATCGGGCTACATTGCGGACTCCAAACATGTACAGTGCTTTTATATATACAAATCCCTTTCTGCTAGTGGAAGCATTTGGTAAGGTGTCGTATACACGGCGTATTGCTCACGGCTGCCCATGCAAAAAACGTAGTCGCAATGCGGCGCTCATGACTCATGGCTGCTGGTAAGATTCAACTGCCCCGAACTATTATGGAATTATAGATACATGGACCTCTTGATCAGTTGACTTCGCCCACATAGCATAGTTTCCATTCCTGCGGAATCGCAGGTTTCACGACGTCGCTTCTGACGCTGCACGGCTTTTCTGCCTTGCGCGTTGTCACCGCTACCTGTTCGAAATGGCGGTTTGAGGCGGCGTTCAAAGTTGACATGTCCGCAATCTCGTCTAGATTAGGGAAATGTTGAAATCGCAGTCTGAGGAACCCGTGATTCGCCTATATGGCGAACCGAAGGTTCGTACATTAAAAAACGACATTCGGGCCGTAAGTTAGGAACGTTGTCTCAGCGTCTCTACTCCGTCACCCCTGACCGTCGCTCAGCAATTCCACTGTGGTCGCCTTCTTTACAATTCCGAACAGCATTTTACCGTCCCGTCAAACAGGAGGCATGGATAGTTCGCATCTCTCAGTCCAACTAGCCAATTGCGCTGCTGTTTGCACTAAAGACGGAGCATAGAAAAGATAACGCATTTAGGGATCAGGATGGAGGTGTTCAGCGAGACAGAGATGAGGAAAAAAAACGAGAAAACGCCCTAAAACTCGAGAATCGGGACAACTTTTTCGCTTGTTGATTTGCGCGTTTGGTAAGTATAATCGGTGATGCCCTCTACGCTAACGCTGAAACTCTCATAGAGCTGCTAGAGTCAGCGAGGGTCAGCAAATCGGTGGTAGTGTAGCGGCGCGAGTACGCCCCTGCTGGATCGCTAGGGCACATTCTTCGCTGGCAAATGTGCGTCGCCCGCAGCTCTAGGGGCTACCACTTTCCGCTAGGTATATTTTCCCTTCCTTCCCCTGTTTGACTTTCGACATTATCCTCCTTTGAGCAATATTTCGGTCACGGTTGCAGCGTTTTGCAGCTTTTAGATCTATAGAAGCTTCATACATTTGCATCACCCTTTTACGCTTTATGTGCTGGTCATTCAACTTAAAAATCAATTTGAAGTTCTAGTACACTAAAGGGCAGATATCTTTGCATGGGGTAGTCATTGACTCTCCATCGAATTGACACAAGTTTTCTGTCTTTCGAGTTTAGGCTGTCATGGTGGTCCCTGCTATTTCGTACCTACCGATACCTAACGAATTGGCGTTGGCTCTATGCCATCATTGCGTACATAGTTCGTCTTCATTGGGCTCCTATCAGGTCCGTGGGTGGTATATGTCAATTTGATTTTGCCAATTCTTTTACCCATTCAATCCAACCCACGGACCTAGTGCCTACCTTTCTTCTCGCTTTATTGCAGTAGAAAATCACTAACAGTCTTTGCATGTGGTCCGCGGGTTAACGAAGTGTAATGCTGAAATTGCGCTTCTACATCCCTTTTGAGAGATGTGCATCATGTAGTTTGAACTAGCTAATTTACGTTTTATTTTACTTGGCATTTTTGTGTTTCTGCAGTGGTTTTAACAAAACTTTCGTAGCGCAACATTTGTGGCCAAATATTTCTCTTTTTGCATAAGGCCGCGATGATAGTTTGCGGTTTTGCGATTTCTCGTGGAATAGATACGTATCGATAGTGTGTATCTACTCCACACTGGAACGGCAAACGGAACAGTCGCAAGATATGACTGCAGCCTTACATATGTTGCTATTTCCTCACAATTTGTGTACTCATTTATTTTGGTGTTTTTCAGAGGTGACTTTGTTATGCTGAGAACACTTCCTAATCCAGTTGGAGGCACATTCCGCGGAAGTCACTGTATTGATCGTTGCATTTAATACTAAAGAGCGAAAAACCAACTGCCGCACCTGCTTTGAGAAAAAGCAAAAGAAAATGTGTGAAACTCGTAAAAAGGGCGCTCATTTTTTGGTAGATTCCGAAATATGCGCGAGTACTTTGCGGAAAGTGGGTAATTGCATAATCTCTGGTTTTGATTTCTCATCAGTTTGGCGATACCATCTGCTGAAACCACTTTGGTGCTTAGATTTCTGTTGTTTTTTGATTGCGTCGTGATTTACTGCTACCTCCTTCATCAAGTAGTAACCAGAGCCTTGAATGCTAGAAGAAAGCTCGGGTGCACCCTTGAAGCGACAGGTTGCAATCGAATTGTTCGCTATTTTGTTCTAAAGCTTGGCAGGGGGTGCGAAGAAGAACGTCAGTGGGGAAAAACAAAATAGAAAAACCCTGAGTTTTCTTGTGAGCTTGGCTGTAGTAGGATCAAAGATACAGTGTTGCAAGGAAAGAAAACGCGAGAATGGCTCCTTCTCCGACTCATATTCCTTGTGCTCACATAAACTAATGTACCACGAAGTCTATACCATCTCCGTTCGTAACACGCGTTAATACAAAATGGTGGACAACACGGTTGAACCTTCTCTCAAAAACTCTAAAGCCAAGCCCGCTATCTTATGAGCGTTCAGCAATGAGGCTAGATTTGGAGTAGTCTGTTGGAAAAAAAAATAAAGCCAGAGAAGTTTTCATCTCGTCTTATGCAAGACTTCCTGTTTCAGTGGCATTTTACCTAAGGATGGATAAGCAGTTTCGGAATAATTTCAAGAAATGGCCCGGTTTCCAGTGAAGGACAGTGTAACCGCTGCCGCGGACTGCACGGCGCTCTTCGTCGCGGACGCCACCAGAACCTCCGGCTACGGTACCGGACTCGAGGCCTATTTATCACCGCTGGGGATTGAGCAGTTTTGCGTCCGTGATCTCGCTTCTCGCCTTTGAAAGGGACATAGTTTAAAAAAAAAAGCAGGAACTGAGCAACGGAATTTTCCTTCTTGTCATGAAATCGACGGACTACCGCAGACACATGAACTTGTTAGTGGCGGTGCTGAAATGCCAGTAGGTATCCGGGTGACAGTTCACCATGTGCCTACGCCGTAGAGCGTGACAGCATCTTGCACTATACAAGTGCACGGAGGGCGGATCTCCGTTGGAGTCACCCACTCTAAGCAATGCCTCAGACTTAAGTGCATCTGTCGTACAAGTTTGTGCCGGCACAAAGGGCGCTTTTGTAACAGTCGACCGATCGTAACAATCGCACAGATTGGATACGTATCGATCGTCCAGCTTTGCGATCATCGGATGATATCTGATGCATGTGACGTCGGGACACACGGGAAACGGTCGAGAAGCGCAAAGCGCCAATGATGGGCCTTGGAACTGCCTTCTATTCCTGCAACGATACGAGGACCCAGGAAGTGCCTCTAATTATATGGGATGCTCAAAAAAAAAACTGCAGCATAACAACGTCCTCAAAGTTTGCGGACCAAGTGCCACTTTTACACTTCATTCACAATACAAACCGCCTCCCACTGACTCCTTTCATTTATTATCAGATGTTTTTCTTCTCTATATACCCACTAAATTTCCAGTTAGGCGGTGTTGAAGTTCAGTAACGTTTTGTTGAAATTTTCGTAAAAATTGCGTCGCATAAATTGTGATTCTTTTTTTATGGCTTCGGTGATGAATGCTTACTTTTTTTTAACGGAATGCGAATCAAATAGACAATACGCCAAACACAGTTTAATCATAAAATGCACATAGGTGCTTGTTTATGCGGTATATCATTTTCATACTAATTTTATTCTTCCAGTATCATGCTTTCAGATTTTACGAGTCTACGCGTGATAAAAGTGGAAATTATGTGAAAGGAGCTTGTGGTCTGCAAAATCTTGGCAATACTTGTTTCATGGCTTCTGCCCTTCAGGTTTGAGTGAATGCGAGATTGTCTTCCTTCTTTTTTTAATTGTAATTTTTTTTTCAGTGTTTGTCCAATGTTCCGGAGTTGACTTGGTATTTCCTGTCTAATAGATATGTCGCTGATATAAATGAAAGAAATCCCCTTGGTACTCGAGGGGAATTAGCTCGTGCATATGGCGATCTTCTTCACAATATGTGGTCAGGAGAGAACTGCAGCATCGTACCTCGCAAAGTCAAAGTAAGTTCAAATCTACGCGCACAGTTCGCGGGCACTACCAACTCGTCCGCGCTCGCCGCGGCCGCGCCTTCAAATCGTGAAGAAAGTGGGGGAGCCGTTGCGGTAATCTCACGAAAGATTTCTGATGTCGGTCATCTCGTATATGATGAGCCTCTAATGTTTGAAATTCTGTGTAAAACTCTGAATCTTCAGAGTTTTGAAGAAGCTATTTCTCCCTATAAACTCTATGGGACTATATGGCCCGCCCGGTGTGCTCATTGTCAGTAGACCGCCAACCGCTTGTTATCAGCTTGTTGCTGTTAAATCAGCTGAAGGGGGGGGGGGTAGCTCTGTGATCCGGACCCACTCTGAAATGACTTCGAGTTTTTTCTGCCACAAAACCTCATGTTGGTGTCCGCTGATTGCTGACACTAGGAGTAAACCCAGGAGAAGGGAGGACCAGGAAGAAGATATTTTGTTCACGTACTTCCCTAGAATCTCTTTCCCACTTGACGCTTACCATTAATCCCATGTTCTGTATGTGGGTCATCACTTCAATGTCCTTACAAGGAGAGGGGGCTTCCGGTTTCTGAACGAAGGACATCCGCAAGTTACCTGCTGCCAGACAATGTTGACGATAAGGGTGGGGCATATATTCGTTAACCAGTTTAGCTGCGAACCATTCACATTCATTCATGCATACGGGTTTGCAGTGATTGAAGCAGGGCCATCGATATTTCTGTAGTACTTCCTGTCTTAGGACTGAGTCATAATGTTTTGTGCATAACTTTGCCCATTTTGGTGCACGCCTCACCCACGTATAGCAGTGGCATCCTTCCGTTGTCAGACTCTATTCATTTTTTTCTCGGTCTGTAAGACTTCTTGGGACCGAGGTAAAGTTCGACGCAAACTTCGCTCACATTGGTGCGCTCCCCACCCACCTGTAGCAGTTAATCTCTCTAAAATTTCTACACACTTTTTCGTGGCCTCTATGAGTTCTTCGAACCGAATTATAAATATGGTGGCAAACTTCGCCCACACTGGCGCGCGGCACGCCACCATCAAACTCACTATTCCTTACTTCTCAACCTCTGTCCAGTTTTTCCCCATTTCGACGGCTTCCCTGATTATGTAGTGTATTAAACACCGCCCACTGTGGGCGGGCTTTCCACCGAATTCAGATATGCTGAGGACGCTTTAGATGCTGCTCTCTTGAACCGATTTTTTCTGCTCTATAAGCTTTTCTCAATCGAGTTGTGATTTTATTGAGCAACCTCGTTCAGAGAGCGCTCCTCCCATCGCAGACGGTCTTCCTATTTGCAACTCATTGCACACCTTTACCCCATTATTTTCGGTCCGGCTGCTCTATAACCGATCTTGAAGCTCGCCGTCGGCACCGCTCAATACGTGCCGCCCACTGTGGGCGAAGCTCCGCCCGGGTCATAAGTGTTTGTACTTCTTGAAGCATGTCCCACCCATCCCAATCTTGACCCGGATTCTGTAGGCGGTTCATCATGTGCACAATTTCGTGGCAGACGGATGGACAGACAGACAGAAACACAGACAACACATTGTATATATGGCAGGGATTGTTGACTCTGCAAAAGACGAGGAGCAAATTCGAACTAAAAGAATAAACAGATAAATGGCAGAAAACTCCGGCGACCCTACATAATCTTAAACCGTTCCATTCTGAACGCCATCTATCTCTTACAACCAACAACCTTAGACATTGGTGGTTTCGGCAAGATCCTATTGTATGCTATGTCCGATCATTCTTTTCATGGTCTTCATTGAAGGAAAGTGTCTATCAGAAAAGGTGGAGGCTTTCGAAGTGGGGCATGGGCAGGAGCAGTTGAAGACTGCTTCGTCGCAACCCGTTTTTGTGGTTTACCTGTTATCTCTTCATTATTGTTTGATTCCTCGGATTAACACTCCTTCAGATGACGATAGGGCAGTTTGCTCCGAGATTTAGTGGATATGCGCAGCAGGACTCACAAGAACTTTTGGCGTATGTCTTAGACGGTTTGCATGATAAGCTTTGTAATAGCATATAAAGTGAACCATATTGTCCGGATGATCTGAAACCGTTGGAAGACTTAGAGGAGCACGAGGTTTGTCAAATTTAGTCTTCTGTCTTTGTGTGTCGGCAACATGTACATTTGAAAATAGTGGCGGATATTGCCTTTTAATGAGTGTCACTATGGTTAGTTGTGTCAGCAAGCCGAAAATTCTGCATATCGTTACAATGGCTCGCACTGTACTAGTATTTATCCGTTGACTCTTGTCACGGCGCCAATCTGAAGTCGACTTGTTTGTTCCTGTTCGTTTGTGGCAAGGTCCTTGTTGTCTTGGACAAGGTAGCTCGTATAGGTCTGTAGCTTTAATGGATAATGATGTTCGTTTGAGGTCCGCATCAAGCTCGATCCCTTTTTGCTTCTTTGTCGGTCCTCTTTCCCAGCAGGAAAGTAGACAAGTCCACCTTGATTTTCACATCGAATTCGCAGATGGCTCTAGTGTAGAATTAAATACTCTTAGATCTATATTCATGTCGTTGCGTACTGTTTTTTGAAATTTAACACGTTGACGACAGCGCAGGACACATACGTCCCGCACTTTGCTGGCCATGACGGACAGCGCGGGTATGTGTCCTGCACCCATTACATCAATTTTTTCCGCGCACGCGTAATCAATTTCGTAGTTTCTTGTGTTTGTTCTATAGAAGAGACCCTAGCACAGCTACAAACATAGTGGCTCGAATAAGGGTTACGTATGCTTCAACTTAGAAGAAGATTTCTGAACGTTACTGAATATATCAGTTCAGATAATTTTTTGTTTCCCTTTTCATTCGATAAGTGTGAGGTTCAAAAGAGTGGTAAAATTAAATACGGAGCCCGAGGAATAACAAGATATGTGTTTGATCGCAGCAATCCAGGTAGGACGGATTTTAAGGTCCATTGTAGATAAGTCTGGCAAATTTTGCTTTTTCATTCGTATTTCGCATCTTTCGATCAAATTTCCACAACTGTACCCTTGGATAGTTTCTACTCGATGAAAGTCACTGAACTAATTTTGTATCAGTCATTTGTTATGTGTTTACCATTCGAAATGCGCTGGAATGACCCTGAGGTGGTTGGCCGGGGTATCGACTCCGGCGCGTGGTCCCCGCAGGCCAAAAAAGCCAAAACGCGCGCTGTCCGTCACGTGTTAAATGCTTGAAGGTTTGCTTATAACAAAAAATTGGTTTGGTATTTCATGTAGTCGAAGTTTTATGTCCTTGCGTTTTTGGTGGCTACATACCTAGGAAATTACGCATAGTCGAAGTGGCTTGTTTGAAATTGTAATAATAATACTGCAGAATAATTGCGTAGGACGTCATTTTAGACATTTGTTTCAATGTAAATGTTGAGAAAAATGTCATAGAAAAAATATTATACTTAGTTTAGTGATGAAGATATCGCCTCGCAATTGAAAACGTAATAAAACCAGAGGGAGCCTTACTGGTAGGAGATGAAGCAATCGTCCCTAAGGCAAAGATGTCTTTTATTTCCAATCGAGGGCTTTATTTTGAAGCGGAAAGGCCGCGCCTTTTGGGGTGCATAAGCAATTTTAGACGTGACATCAGCGATCGGCGACGAAACAAAGCGAATGGAGGCGGTTCGCGATCCTCGTTGGTCCGGCGCTTGCCAATCGCTCTCGGTCAAGAGCGATTGGCAAGCGATTGCGCAATCGCTTGCAAAGTGCACAAGCGACGGGCAATGGCTCTGCTCGATCGATACCGCAGCCGACTGCATTGACTGGGGGCGGGGCCAATCGCCCGTCGCTTGTGCACATTGCGCAATCGCTTGCCAATCGCTCGAACGAGACAAGCGATGGAGCGATCGCGATCGCTCCATCGCTTGGTCCGTCGCCGACTATGACGTCGGTCTAATTATTCGGCCGGAGCTCCTCTCCTTCCTCCTATGCTCAATCCTAGGAGCCCTAAACATCTTGCTGTCGTGCTCGAACTTTCACCCTTCATCTGCAGTGGTCAAAGCTTTTTTTTTGCTGAGAATGAGGATTTTATAGAGAGAGGGAGCTAAGGTGTATGCGACAGCCATCTTCGAAATCCAACTCTGCCCCAACTTTTTCGCCCAAATTAAGCAACATAAATGGAAAGTGAATGGCGCACGTAAGAGTTAGTAAGTATGGAATCGAGAAAACTGCACCATCTAGTGATTTGATAAAAAAAACACTTTAGTAACACATTTCAGGTACGAAAGAGGGCGTGCCATTATGGAGTCGCACACCTCGTTAATTTATCTTTGGCCCTATACATTGAATTTTCATCACCCGTTTAGAATCTGCTATGCTTGTTACAAATTTTGCTATTGTTATAGTTCACCATTACCATGGCGACTTCAACAACTGTACAAGATGCGATCAACACTATGAAGAATTCTTTGCAAAATATCGGGAATGATTTTACGGGAGAGGTATCTCGAGATTTTCATTTGTAATGTCAACTAAGATGTGTTGCGCAATAATTATCAAGTTCATGCTTCAGATTGTTGTATATTCTATCGGTTTTGGAGAATTATCAGACGAAGTACGGTTACTAGATCCTGCAGAACCAATCTATATCGAAGATAAAAATCAGTCTTTATACGCATGTCAAGTTGATCACAATCCTAATACACATAAAGTAGTTGTTATAAAGTGAGTTCTTTTTTTGTAAGAATTTTCATACTTCATAAGTTACAGGATAATCTGTCATTTAGAAATCAAACGCAAACAGGGCGTACACTATCGTTACCAATGGTGTTTACCCTTCCCAACTCTGACTACCTCACTAGAAGGTGATTACAATCCTTTATAATTGCGTCTTTTGAATTAACATGAAGTGTTTTTGAAGTTTCTCGCTTTTAGCTTTCTCGCCAATCGCATATTGCCTTTCATCTCAGACACGTTCATGAAGTCGCCTTTAGAACTTTGCTTATACGAAGAGGATGCGAAGCTTGCAGAGGAGCGTGGTAAGTTGATGTGACGACTCTTCCCTGTGGTCGCTATAGTCGCTATAATATTAGTTTCTGAATTTTAGAGCAATACAAGCTGTTTGTCATGCACGGGGTCAATGCGGTTCCGTTCCCGACAGCTCCCGACGAGCCTGTGCCATGGCCGGGAGGTCTTCCCATGCACACAGTTGTTTTTCAGTGGAAGGATCCTCAGTTATTCAACCAATATAAGGGAGCTGTAAGTGAATTCTGATGTAAACTCGCAGAGGATATTGCATGCAAAATTTGTAGAATCGAGGAGTCGAGCGTGTAGATGAAAAGAGGCCAGTGATGATAGGGAGATTACGTAAACTTCTGAAGATTGTTCATCCACGACATTAGTAATATCCTTTATAAAGTGTATGGTGGTCAAAGACAAACTTTTTTGGTTAGTGGCTGTGGCAATACAGTTTTCAGGGAATATTTATTATGCCTAACTTCGAAGATCGTCGTTACAAAAGGCTTAAGCATATGAACATCTTTATGTCGTTCGCTCATAACTACTCCACTCTACTAAATTACACTTCACCGCGCGACTACGCGCGACTACGCGCGACTCACAGAGCAGAAGTTCGAATAACGGCCAAACTCACCTTAATTCCACCAGGACGGGCCGCTCAGCTCCGCGAGTCAATGAGAAAAGTGAGACTGACCGCTTGTGTGCTGCTAGCAAAGTGCGCACGTGCCGTACGTTACGTTTGCGTAATCAGAGCTCACAAAGCGGAATGTATGGCAAGAAATCATCAGTTATGGAAATGCACTCATTCCTGTTATTCATACTCGGATTGCGTTGTTTTATCCAAGCCCGAAGTTTCCTAGCACCGATATACTCTCGTACGCCAGAAGTCGTTCATAACTCAACGTCATAAATCCGCATGATTCCGTCCTAGTTTGCCAAGCGTTGCGTAAAACCTCCCTTGTTTCTAGCCAAATTTCTTTTATACGTACACCCAACTGTCTCCCAGTTTCTCCAATGTACAAGGCGTTACATGTTGAACACTGAAGCTGGTAAACACAGATCTTTGTGCACAGTCTCCTACCTTTCCATACGGGCAGATCACGCAGTTATCCATGGTGCAATTCCGGTCGTAGAGGCGATTTCTGACCAATTGATGTTTAAGGTTGTCTCTTGTGTACTGAAAAGCTAGATCTCATTGCCATTCGCTCTTACAGACACGCTTGATACTGCACAAATGACGATAAAAGCGGGAGTTAAAGATACAAACTATTTTAGCTATCATATGAAAAGTCTTGGTTGCTACGTCATCCGCTGCCGCTTTGTACCATTTGAGATTTAGCAATTGATATCTAATTCTGATCTTTCTCGCAGATACCATTGACCTGGGTCAGGTAATGTAACCAACCTCGCGCGGACCAGTGACTGAGTACTGCGACTTTGATGCTGATTAGAAATGAATATCATCCATTCGGATTGGGGTCGAGTGATACAACAGTCGTCGATGTAGCGCAGAATTATGGCAACGGGTAGACTGGTCTGTGTCGATTTTATCATGAGCAGACGCTAGGCTTATTAGGAAACTAACGTACGCACTGCCCTTTACTAGAGCCCAGGTAGTCTCACTTTCTCCATTGACTCGCGGAGCTGAGCGGCCCGTCCTGGTGGAATTAAGGTGAGTTGACCGTTATTCGAACTTCTGCCCTATGAGTCGCGCGTAGTCGCGCGTAGTCGCGCGGGGGAGCTGTTACATTTAGTAGGAGTGAGTCAGATATAAGCGAACGAACATACAAAAGTTCGAATCTTCAGCTGATAACGACAATCGTCAAAACGCAGCAAATAAATATTCCACCTAAAAAACCTGTATGGCACAGCCTTATAAAAAACTAATGAAAATCCCAGAGTTCCAAAAGGACAGGACCTACTTAAAAGTTTATTACTTATTTATTTATTTTATTTATTGAAGAACAAAGTGAATCAAAGTCAATGCACACCTTAGGAAAATTGGAAGCGTGCTAACGGCTGTGTGATGGCTGAAAAGTATCCATATTTGATTTCAGTTGGCGGATGACGCTAGGGATAACGTCATTCCCAGACAAAACTATCATACATATGGTGATTCTGAAATTTCGGTGTTAGGTAGCTAAATCCTAACACTTCTAGCACCCTTTCTTGTACTACAGTTCCCCGACGACTGATATAATTTTTTGGAAAACTGGAAGGAATACGAAGGCAAGATAATTTGAGTGTAACGAGTGGAGTCGTAAGGGATAGGGTTGTGCTGAGTTTGTCAATTTCTTCGCCTTTTGTCTCGCATTGGATTATTATAGAATTCAATTCGACATCAATTCAACTCTGCTCTTTTTCGGGTATATTGAAATGAATGAACAAGTCAATCAATATTTCAATTTGAGCTCCTTGCGATTATCGTCGATGATTCTGTTTCTATGCTCAAAGGACATCATATGATGGAGGCATGATCTTGTCATAATCGGAGAGTTGCGAAGAAAAAGTTGGTAAATGCAGCCTGAACTTTACGCATCTCGGAATTAAGTATGCTCGCCAATGAAAATTGTAAGCACTAATGGAAGTACACAATTTCTTGGAGGCTGAGTTATTCATTCATCTCGCTCATTTTCGCTCTAAGTCTAAAAACGCTATGAAACTGCTATTGACATATTAACAGTTATAGTTAAAGTATTATTAACAACTTATTAGTGGCAGACGTCACTCTAATGGGAGTATAATGTTAATCTTCAGGTACTGCCCGAAATGCAAGAAGCACGAGAGGGCCACAAAGAAATTAGATCTATGGAATTTACCACAGTTCGTTGATGTGCATGTTTAGCTCACGTAGTTCTTCTGGTTTTTGTATTGTTACAAGCAGGTAACATTTTTGGTTTTTCTCGTTCTACTCGGCGACGGGTTCAAGTCAAGTAATTATGTAGATAAATCTATTTTCTCCTGTCAGATGCCATTGTTGCAAAGACATCGGAAACAACCACACATAGCGCTCGCCTTTTCTTTTCCATAAGCTTCAGTAGTGCAGCAGTAAGCTGACAGGGAGAATTTCGCAAAGTAGCTCCAAAGTTTACGGTCTCAGTTTTTTTATCCAGCTTAATGTGTTTTTTCCAGATACTCATCATTCATTTGAAAAGATTCCAGTACAGTAAATGGCATCGCGACAAAATTGATATTCCTGTTGTTATTCCCGTAAAGTATGTTTTTGCAGCTGTTTTTTTGTCTTTATTTGCCCAATACTCAATGTTGTTTCTTAATTATATGACCTTTCTTCCAGAGGATTCGAGCTGAACTCAAAGTTAGCAAATGAGAGGCACGAACATGTGAAGTATGACTTGATAGCTATTAGTCATCATGTTGGCGGTCTGGGAGGTGGTCATTACACTGCTTCTGCTTTGAACAAGACAACCGGAAAATGGTAGGCGTATGGCTGATTGGTCAGGTTCGAATTCCCACTCGTAAACTTTATGGTCAACGTTAATTTTCCTAGGTATGAATTCAACGACTCATGCGTCTCAGAAACTGCTGCTCCATCTGATCCAACAGTTGGTCGAACACCCTATATGCTTGTTTATCGACGTCAAGAAATTACGACCGATGTTTCATCGCCTGATGCGAATGTCGAAGAAGAAATGGAAGAATAGTGCCATGGAACAGATGAGAGCGACCACGTTGTTGCTTTTAAGCTGACGGTTGTATGCTCACTAGAAAAGTTGTCGTCATTTGCCGTTGTGCTGCTATCACACTCACACACACTGCGGCCAGCAGGCCAGCAGTTGAGCTTCGGCAAGGACAACGAGCATACACATCAACGACTTAGCTCTGTTCGTCTTGGACCGGTGAGACGACGAAGCAGCAGTTCTCGATAGCTTCCCTCCTATGCTTTCACAGTTCGCGACTTTCTTTACCCGTTGTTTTGCGTCGTTTGTCGTTTATTTACTTTGATTGATGTGGCATACGAAATTTCTACGATTACGTGTCAACTGTGCTTTTACCATATAGACAGTATGAGAACAGCGGTCAGATTCGAAGAATCAGACCGAACACCGATGCTGTTTTGGTGCTTCTATCAGTGCATCAGTGATAGGTTTGTTTTTCGATTCATGACACCCCAGTGCTCTCATGCTAACCCGGTGATTATTTCCATTTTTTTGTGGCCTTTTAAGATCTTGTTTAATATTACATATATCCTCGGTGGGGTTGGTCATTAGGGGACAATCGACCGAGGTTCGCTTGTGTTAGAGTTGTCATCAGCCCTTAATTTTTATACTTTCATCCCCATCCCATTAAGCAATTAATCTCCCCCGTCTAAGAGAATACAGGCTTACCTTGTGATTTCGATTCTTTTAATGGTTTTTAATTCATAAATATTTAAATTACAGGAGCTTAAGTTTTGATAACATACGCAACTCGTCGGTTATTGTGCTTCACATTTCGTTTGAGAAGTGGGGGATGAAGGCTTGACTGGAATGCAATCTGTTCTACGTAAAAGTCTTCTATATCGCAACACGTGCTGTTTAAAGGAATCTTGCGCGGAAAAATCATGATTCTATTTCAGCCATAAATCACTGGCTTGAGACTCATTATCCACGATAATAGTGAAAAGAACTGAAGTATTGCTTTCGTTTTGATTAGAAATTCGAAAAATCGAAAAGGCTGCTACGCGTTCGAATTGCCCACGGACGTCTTTCACGAATGCTGGCGACGGGGATGCTCAAACTTGGTTCTTGGAGTGCATTCACTAGAAGCTCTTTCTGGCCTTCTGCTTCGTTGCATTCACATCTTACACTTCTACTCCATCCTATTCCATCGATCGATTTGTCTCCACTCTCCGAAATCGCGCGCTTTAACCCGATTCTCTCATTGCGTCGCCTGGTACGTAGCCGGCCAAACGCCGCCTTCTTTGCATGCCTCGCCTGGCTCTGTCTCCTGGTCC